TTCATTTCGTTTGGATTAAATTAAGGTACACATTAATGTACCTATTGTACTTCTTTTGTGGTAGAAAAGCCTGAAAAAAACCGTGCACAGACATGGGCAGAAATATACAAACTCAACTCAGAAATTCCGACTGGGACTCGAATCCCACGTACATTTTAATCATCCATTCACTCCCTGACTTTGAACAAACCTGGGCTGGACCAGGAACGGAGCTGCAGTCCCTTACCCTAACCCCCTTTTCTATAGTTTTCCAACATTTGAGGACGGTGTCTGTGACTTCAGCCTCTGACTACCCTCTGAGCTATGGATAAAAGGGACTGGTAACGTACCCCATACCTCCTCAAACTTGCCAATCACGTTATCAGTGCATCTTCAGCTCAGAGCCTGCTCCCCAAAAGCTCCCGAAAGTCTCTCCTCCGCACAGACCTCTTTGGCTGTGCCTGACTCCCTCTTGTTGAAGTGGAACAGGTGTGATTTTAATTATGCATTAAAATATATGCACTTGGATCCACTTGACTGAGCTCCTCCCCTTTCCTTCTCACTGGAAATGACTCCCCCTCCGGTTTTAGCTGTTGAAGTTGTGGATAGAAGGGCTTGATTTAAAAAACTGCTCACGTCTGGCTGACTCAAGTGAGGGGTTTGTTCCGCTGCCACACTTCCGTTCACAAATACTTGGGCTCGGGGGAGCGGGGAGCAGGCAGGAGGCAGAAATCCCTGTTAATCTAGTGGATCTGGCTTTGGCTGTCTCTTTTGTTCACTGTTACCAGGACTTTGGAGCATTGATCATTGGGGAGCAGTGTGCAGAAGAATGGTTAAACAGTCGTGCCTGTGAGAATCTGTGTAAGGTCAATGTCAAGACAATACAGTATGTGCGGCTTACGGCATCTATTTCAGCATGTGTTCTGATGATATTGGATTTTACGGGGGCAAAACATCTTGTCACCTCAGAACAATTGCATCCCAAGTTACAGAACAGTCAGAATGAGTAGCACACAGCACAAGATAAGAACATAATAACTCAATACTAAAATAAAATAAAATAAAATCTCTACCTCCAGCAATCTCTATCTTTAGGATAATAAGGACAGAAGTCATAAAATATCCAGCTTTAGCCTGATGAAGAAGCAAGACTTAAGCACAAAACTCCCTAACTTAAGCATAATAAGAAAAACATAAAAGATTTCCCATCAATACAATGTGATATCATTAGACTTTTTCTATTTTTCTATTTTTTGTGCTTAATTGTGGCCGTTTTGCGTTCATATTCTAGTGTACTTTCAGTTGCCATGTGCCAATAAAACTCTTTGGGACTGAAGCAAAATGTTGAAGTCGTTTTGAACATTGAACATTTGTTTTTTCAGATAATAAGTTCATAGTGAATAGATTCCCGCCGTAATATTATGTCTGAAAGGCCTTTCCACTGCCCAACATCATGGAGTTTTATTTAATGTTCACCCTCATGAAAAAAATAATTAGACCAACTCTGTTTCATGTGGCTTGGCCCAGGAACAAGATAAATTATCTTTTTGGAATGCAAATACATATTAACTACTGGATCAAGGCAGACTGGGTGAGAATCGTTGACCTGATTTTGACACCTCCGAAAGAGAAAAAATCAGCCATAGCTCCTGATTTCTAGGGCACTTTTCTCCAACCAAAGTTTTGACATGTCCCATTCACACATTTCCATCCGTCCATATCCATCCATTCAAACCTGCTGCACATGTATTCAGTCATAACCGGAGCACCTGGAAGAAACCTATGCAGACGCAGAGACAGGCTTTACTTTTACTGCCACACGGCTTTTTTTTTAACTTTTGTTTTAGGGACAAGGAGAAAATGAACGGGGGCATTCAGTGCGACCAAGCGGCTCATGAATCCTCTGTGCATTGGGAGTTGTCTAAACGTTTAATATCAGCAGGTTTTATATTCCCTGTGTAGCTTATCACCTCCAAACTCATTGTGTATTGTGCGCAGTCCTCTGTTGCAGCGGCAGAGGTGTGGGTGGAGGCGGGAGGCATGGGGAGGTGTGTGGGGGGGTATAGGGGGGGTGTCCGGCTTGTTTTGTTGATCTGTGTTTAATGAAATGGACCACAGCGAGCAGATTTGGCCATTAGCTCAGCGAGGGCCTATAATCACTACAAGTTGTTTCCGTGGACTTGGTTATTGAACAAACACTCCGGGGGGGGGGGGGGGGGGGGGGGGGGGGGGTCCTGTACCTGCCAGGGCGACTCGGCCTCCCCCTTTCATTCCCCTTTGGAACACTGCTTTTTGGAGGCGATCGATTCAGTGGTTTGAAAATAACAAACCAGCAGCGTGCACAGCGTCAGATTGGATTCAGAGAAAAGTATAAAAAGCGAACGTGAAGTGTTGCCCTGAAATAATTAGGACGGGCTGTTTGTGTGCGACGAGTAGAACTGTTGTCGGGAGGAAGAGCGGAGTCGAGCTTTAATGTAGCCTGGTCGTACCACACCACAGTACAAATTACATTTCATACCAAGGTCTGGATTTGCTCCATTGAGTCCGTTAACAGGTGGGACGGGTTAACTCCTTTTGCAGGTTGAAACGATTGGATCTGAGTTTACCGTCACGTATGTAATGCGCCCGAGTCTGTTGTTAGCATGTACCTTAGCCATCTCCATTGTCGCTTACGGACCCCGTGGGGAGTAGCGCCACATTTTTTTCCAGCGATTACATTTGCTAAACATTACCCTTAACCTTGCCTGCAAGCTGAATTCTCGCGGTATTTGTGAGTTCACAAACACTTGAGAATACATCTTGTCCCGCTCCAGCCAACCCTTTTCGAGTAGAACATCTAGGTGTTCAAGCCAATCACGCGCCAGTCTGGGGGTTTAGGGCGGGATATCCGGGTTTGACGAAAGCAAGAAGTGCCGGGCCGAAGCAAAACAAACATGGCTACGCAGGAGGACGGACGCGTAGCTGAAGCTATCAAGTCAGTTTTAGCAGAATCTCCAATTTCTTTTTTGAAAGATGAACAGCGAGAGGCGCTTTGTGCACGCCGATGACGACATAATGTCACCGGGATTGGTTTGAGTCAAACCTTGGTAGGCGGGCACACAGCGTCACTTCGCCCAATCAGCTTGAAGTCTTCTGCAATCCCTCCTTTCCCCAAAAGGATTCTCCTGCAGAAGTCCCAGATTGATATTTGTGTAGAACGCATTAGAGTTCTACACAATCATCAATCTGGCTCTTGCCAGGTTACATTCCTCTTGCTCCGGCTTCAATTTCTTGATAGAACCAGACCGGAATACACTACTCTCGCATTTTTCACCATTACCAAACTACAACCTGCCTGTTCGACGCAAACTCTTGACATCACCCACTACTAACTACAACACTCTCCTTTCGCGCTCTCTGATTGGTCGGTCGAAATTCAACCAATTTTAATCGCTAACATGAGGACTAGACCCAGACGTTACATGCAGTGAAATGATGATTGAACGGAGAGTACGGACGGATAAGGCCAGGCTAGCTTTGATGGGGTTTCTTTTATATATTTTTCTTTATTATATTTAGAACTACAGTCATCATTTTCAGTTTTCCAAGGATTTAGGTACTTTGCCAAAAAGTTGAGGCAAAAAGTAATATTGACACTAAACTGAAATGAATCAATCAATCCAATATTTAATTGTAGAGCACATTTAAAACAGCCGAGGCTTAAAGTTCTATAAAGACAGAGAGAAAACATAATTGTATTAACACTACATTTTGTCACTAATGGATTCATGATGATTCTAAAAGTAATGTTGGATTCTGTCTCATGTATCGTTTCAATTCCAAATGCCAAACGAGGTCTGGAATGTGCATGTTCTCCCTGTGTCTGTGGATGTTTCCCACATCACTGAGCAGCAGCGAGTCCTGAGTGTCTCTGAAACAGATGTTGTTTTGTGTTTTACAATTGTTATTTTTCTTGCTTTTTTCTGCCTGAGATGTTGCTGCAGTACAGTGTTCATTGTTTTACACTGGTCCAGACCAGAGCAGAGTGGATCAGGTGAAAATCCACTGGAGGAATGCTAACTTTTTGGAAAATGCTAATGAAGAATTCAGCATTTTACTTTGGACCAGAGCAGAAAAAATGGTCCAAACCAAAGAGCTCCACCTTGTGACTTGTCCTGCTCCACCCAGAGGCTACTCCACCTCTGCTGCTGTGACCCGTCCTGCTCCACCCAGAGGCTACTCCACCTCTGCTGCTGTGACCTGAAGGGCTCTTGCTGATTATCACTATTGTTAACTTTTTAGAATGATCAATTTTATGCTTTATTTTTGCTTCTACTTGACACTGAATTTCTCCTGCGGTGATCAATAAAGTATTTATCGATCACATGTGTCTCCTATATACTGACCCTTCTTCCATCTCAGTGTGGAGTTGGAAGAATAACGTGCATTTAAAGAACTATGGAAAACTGCAAACATCACCATGTTATTCATAATTTTGCTCCGAATAAAACAAGCGTTAAAAATAGATGGATTCCTTCTCAGCCCTTGAGTCTCACACTCCAGACTGGGCCTCGTCTGCTTGCATTAGCCCTTATCATATTAGTACTGACGAGGATCTGCTGTGACTGGCTGTGATGGCCATGCTCAATGACAGCTGTCAGACCGTCACTGCTGCCTCCTCACCACCCATTTAAGCTTCGTACATCAGCCTATAACCACACACACACACACACGCACACACACACACACACTTGTTAACTACAAGCTTAAACCATTTTGAAAGGCGTCTCGTCCTGCTAATGACACCTACCCGGATTGTCAAACGGGGACAGAGGACACGCTTCTTGCCGTTAGTGAAGCCATTTTTGTGCCTCCCCGAAATGACAGCGCTGGTGTGAGGCCATGACTGTCCTTGGGTCTGGGTCAGCGCTGTAGGACGCGAGACTGGACCTGGCGCCAACTTTTCACTGTGAGGTCGCTAACACGGGAAGTGCTCACTCCGCGGTCCAACTGCTTATTCGACAAGGGGCGGGCGGTGAAAAATGACCTTCAGAGTGGATTCTGTCACCGAGCAGGTTTTTATTTGTTTGGCTGCTTGTTCTTTTTTACCCCTTTGAGACTGACTATTGCCTTTTTAAAGTTTAGGCTGGGTTTAATCTTTTGAACATGTGTTTCACTTGTAAAAGCTGTAGTATAACCCCAAATAGGGAACATTTTAGTCATGATAAATACATTAGTGAGATTATTTTTGGTGATGAGTGTAGAACTGCACCCAGGTGATGTATAACCAATTGTCAAAACATAGACCTTACCATAAAAAATTTTCCTCATTGTGGATTATAAGAATAGATATGAATGTTGGCTTGACTTATGAGAAAATCAGACATTTCTAATATTTGAAGGACCCTGTTAGAGCCCAATTTCTTATCCATGCTAAACCACGGATCAATCTAAAGCAAACATTTCTTATTACTCTCATCTGACCTTATGATACGATCGGAACAGGGCCTTTCTGAGTGGAGCTGGCATGTTCTCCCCATGTCTACATAGGTTTCCTCCAGGTGCTCCGGTTTCCCCTACCACTAAACATGTACAATAGGTCTGTGCCTCCTGTACCGGTCCCGCTCCCATCTCTGTGTGGAGTGAGAGACTAATGCCCACAATTGTAAACTGCTTTGACTCTGGTCTGTAAAAGGCGCTAAATAAACACAGATTACATACTTACTTACTCGTCAAAAAGAAAACTTAAAGCTGGAGTTCCAAACCTCTCTAACTTCGTAATTAATGTTTGTTTGAACAAGTCCGATCACAAGATGCTTCCTTCATCTTATTTGAAAACATATTTTGCATATTTAAAAAAGATTGAAGAAGAATGTTTTTGGTCTTCTTCACTTTTCTGGATAAAATAAGTTTGACGTTGACATTTTTGTTGCGGTTTGAAGGTTCCTCAGGTTTGCTAAAATAAATCTGGAAGTTTAAAGTTTGCTTACATCAACACTAGATCATGTGTTTCTCTCCTTCAGTCGTTTGTGAGTTCATTATTTGATGTTGTGAAAAACAGACGTCGGGTTTTTGATTACAAAGCCCTTTCACAAATGCTTTTTCTCTTCTTTGTGCGTTGCAGTCCATCAGAGAGGTGACGGGGTATGTGCTCGTGGCTCTAAACCAGTTCGACTACCTGCCCCTGGAAAACCTGAGGATCATCCGTGGGACCAAACTGTACGAAGACCGCTACTCTCTGGCTGTGTTCCTCAACTACAGGAGAGACGGGAACTTCGGCCTCCGTCAGCTGGGCCTCAGGAACCTCACCGGTAATTCATGTACTGTTATATGCTTTAAAGTTAGGCTTGGAGATTTGCTGTTGTAAATTTCTTCTGTCGAGATCATGAACGCCTTTTTTCACAGATGATCAAATAAATGCGTTTTTCAATTTGTAAATCATAACATCATAGAGATTTGTGGGATCCCAAGTGCACAGTTCATGCAAGGGAGCTCAATCAATCACTTTTATTTATAGAGCCCTTTACAACATTCAAGGCGACCAAAGTGCTTCAAAATAAAATTACATACAGTCCATAAAAAGACAAAAACATATGCATTAAAACAATAAAACAGTTAAAAAATATAATATGTTTTACCACAATTACTTTTTCAATCAGAGAGCTACTGTTATACATAAGAACAGGCAAAAAGCTACTCCCTTTTGCAGACGTAATTCAAATCGATCTAATAATTGCGACCAAACTCAGAGAACACATATAAAATACACCATAATACTGTATAACCCGTTGTTTATACTTGTAATAGATATGTAATGGGTCAAAAAGTATTTGTTCAATTCTAATTCCTTTGGCGAGCTATCTGTGAGGGGCTGGCGAGCTACTGGTGGCTCCTGAGATAGGTTGGAGACCCCTGAATTATGCATTTAGAGCAAAATAACACAAAGCCAAGTACAACAGAGTTCCATTAGTGTTATTTTTTTAATTTCTCCACCAACTTATGAGCTGCACTGCCAAGTCAAATCAAATCAGTCCAATCAAATCAATTCATCGCACCCAAAGCAGCGTCACAGAAACATGAGAATACAGTGGAAATACTCACTGGGGTCCATGGTACAGATATATATTGCAACGCTTCCATCTGGTATTTATGGTCCACCACTGCTATAAAGAAATGGAGGATAGAAACTTCTAATCTGAGTAGTGTCTGAAGTCATTTTAATTTGAAAACCACCACAAACAATGAGTGAAAATAGTCAAAATATAGCCAAAAACAAGATCAACATTTCTGCCTGTGGAAACATATATACGGTATACACACACACACACAACATGTACTTTTATACATTATACACAAGTACTGTATTGCCGTGTAGTAAGTATACTTGTATCTGATTACTTACTTAGATAACCGGTATCTTGACAAACACCGGTGCTCCTAAAACCTCCTTCTCGGCTCATCTCTGCGCGTGATCGAGACCAGGCTGGATTTTAGCGCACCGGGTCCAAATTCTTTGTAAATAATTCAGGCCTCTCTCAGTGTTGTGTTCAAACTGCTGCTTTTGTCTCATCTTCCATCTTGTTCTCTTTCTTGTGCCATGCTCTGGGAGTCGCATATGCCCACCACTGGCAGCAGACGTGGTGCCAAGTCGGGGAAAGTGGAGGGCGGCGCAGAGGGCGGCCGTTTGATGTGCCGTCCATGGCCTTGAGCTGTCGAGTCCAGGGGAATGGCCCCGGCTTTATAAAATATGTTTAAAAAGTTAGATGAAGTTGCTAACTGTATCAAATGAAATCGTAGAGGCTACATTTAGACAAGCGGATTGACCTTATGTTCAGGAAAAACTTGATGCGTTGCCATGGGCGACACATCCAGTAACCGCAGGACATGAATGTGCACTTCATTAATAATAGACAGATATATTTTAATATTGAATTAGTTGAAATGTGAACGGTTAGACTGGTTCATCGTGCTGCTGTCAAACTGTTCTACACATATATTTTTGTTCTCAATTCCTTTCACTGCAATTAAGATTAGGTCTATTTTGGCTGTTCTAAAAGTTTGTCGACGTTTGGGTTAAAGACCTTTAGTCATCGCAGGTATATAGCTGCTCTGTAGATCCAGGACTGAGGCTGTAGATCCAGGACTGAGGCTGTAGTCCCAGGACTGAGGCTGTAGATTCAGGACTGAGGCTGTAGACCCAGGACTGAGGCTGTAGTCTCAGGACTGAGGCTGTAGACCCAGGACTGAGGCTGTAGACCCAGGACTGAGGCTGTAGATTCAGGACTGAGGCTGTAGACCCAGGACTGAGGCTGTAGTCTCAGGACTGAGGCTGTAGACCCAGGACTGAGGCTGTAGACCCAGGACTGAGGCTGTAGATCCATGACTGAGGCTGTAAACCCAGGACTGAGGCTGTAGACCCAGGACTGAGGCTGTAGACCCAGGACTGAGGCTGTAGACCCAGGACTGAGGCTGTAGATTCAGGACTGAGGCTGTAGATTCAGGACTGAGGCTGTAGACCCAGGACTGAGGCTGTAGACCCAGAGACTGAGGCTGTAGATCCATGGACTGAGGCTGTAGATCCATGGACTGAGGCTGTGGATTCAGGACTGAGGCTGTAGACCCAGGAATGAGGCTGTAGACCCAGGACTGAGGCTGTAGACCCAGGACTGAGGCTGTAGACCCAGGACTGAGGCTGTAGACCCAGGACTGAGGCTGTAGACCCAGGACTGAGGCTGTAGATCCATGACTGAGGCTGTAAACCAAGGACTGAGGCTGTAGACCCAGGACTGAGGCTGTAGACCCAGGACTGAGGCTGTAGACCCAGGACTGAGGCTGTAGACCCAGGACAGAGGCTGTAGACCCAGGACTGAGGCTGTAGACCCAGGACAGAGGCTGTAGACCCAGGACAGAGGCTGTAGACCCAGGACTGAGGCTGTAGACCCAGGACTGAGGCTGTAGACCCAGAACTGAGGCTGTAGATCCAGGACTGAGGCTGTAGACCCATGACTGAGGCTGTAGACCCAGGACTGAGGCTGTAGATCCAGGACTGAGGCTGTAGACCCATGACTGAGGCTGTAGACCCAGGACTGAGGCTGTAGACCCATGACTGAGGCTGTAGACCCAGGACTGAGGCTGTAGACCCATGACTGAGGCTGTAGACCCAGGACAGAGGCTGTAGACCCAGGACTGAGGCTGTAGATCCTGGACTGAGGCTGTAGACCCATGACTGAGGCTGTAGACCCAGGACAGAGGCTGTAGACCCAGGACAGAGGCTGTAGACCCAGGACTGAGGCTGTAGACCCAGGACTGAGGCTGTAGACCCAGGACTGAGGCTGTAGACCCAGGACTGAGGCTGTAGACCCAGGACTGAGGCTGTAGACCCAGGACTGAGGCTGTAGATCCATGACTGAGGCTGTAAACCCAGGACTGAGGCTGTAGACCCAGGACTGAGGCTGTAGACCCAGGACTGAGGCTGTAGACCCAGGACTGAGGCTGTAGATCCATGACTGAGGCTGTAAACCCAGGACTGAGGCTGTAGACCCAGAACTGAGGCTGTAGATCCAGGACTGAGGCTGTAGACCCATGACTGAGGCTGTAGACCCAGGACAGAGGCTGTAGACCCAGGACTGAGGCTGTAGACCCATGACTGAGGCTGTAGACCCAGGACAGAGGCTGTAGACCCAGGACTGAGGACTGAGGCTGTAGACCCAATAAGTTATACAGTAGTTTTTGTCCCAACAGATTCATTCATACACAATTTTTTTAAATCAGACCAGAACTTGCTTTTCTTATTAGAAAACGCTGTATATACTGAGATCTGAATAAGAACAATACTGGTTTTTAGCGATTGTACTACATAGTCAATTATTTGTGTTAGGTTTTATTTCACATTTCTGGATTTTCAGCCGTTCACTCCACTTCAAAAATACCGGTTATATACTGTGCCTCCTGTGTTTGGGTTTCTAATGTATTATTGTTTATTTCATACATCTCCCCATTACTCTCCTGTCAGCAGCTGATGCGACATGCCCTAAAATGATCAATAGAGATCCATGAGCACCACATATAAGAGGATAAATCTTATTAAATACATATGGGGCTAATCGAGAGTATAGCACTGAAAGACCCCACCGAGGCCTGAAAGCCACTCACGTTCTGCTCCAGTCGGAATTGCTTGGGATGAAATCAATTTGTCGCTAGTGTATTGTAGCATTGCACTTATTGATTTTCCCCGGTGCACTCTCTGCCAGCTGTGAATGGACTCCGTGGATTTGGGCGCAGCGCTGTGTGGGTGTCGGAGGAGGTCGGAGGCAGAGGGGATAGGACTCTCTTGGATGCACCTTTCAATCAAGCTTAGCCAAGTTATCCTCATGAATATGAATTATAGGGCACAGGCAAACTAGTGGAAGAGTGGAGAATGGGTTTACTTGAGACATGAATGTGAAATGAGATTCTTTAAGTTTAAGAACTCAATTTGTTTTTTTTGTTTTTAGTGCAGTTACCAAACTTTCCAGATGTGGTTCAAAAGATGTACGCTGACTTAAGTAACTAATGGAGACATGCTTTTTATTGTTGTTGGTTATACCTCTCAAAATAAAGGATAGTTGCCCATTTATGCCCAAGTGAACTAGAATTAGTCCAGTTTAAGTGAAGCAGACCAACAAAGTACAGACTCAGGCTAAATGTTTTTTGTTGTGCCTGGAATGTTCCTCAGTGTGTTAGTGCAAATGTCTCTATAAGGCAAGCTGGGAAAGGTTCTCAGCAGTAAATGATCTGTCATTAACTAATGTACGAGTTGTAAATTGCATATTCCAAGCAAAGCTATAACATCTCCATGGTAACAACAACACATAAGGCTTTGTCAACGTGTTATGTACTGTGTGAAATATGTTGACAGCACACTGATGCCCATTTCTTTTCATTTTGATTGCGCTGGAAAATGACTGCAAGTCTTGTATACTTTTCCATGGTGGTGTCAGATACGCCGTGTAACGTCTCTGCTCTGTTTACCCTTTTAAGCCTTTTAAAGCCTTTTAAACACGTTTTTACGGTGTATTAGTGTCTTTTGTACACTCTAGTGTTTTATTATCTTAAATGCAATGGTTCCAGAGCATTACGTCTTTTAACACAAAGACCCAATCGAAACGCGCTAGCTCGGAGGCTACCACGAGCGCACCACAGACATGGAAAGTGACACTGCAATGACCACGAACGACATTAGTCGCCTCACATTGGAGCTTCGTGAGAGGGACCGTGCCACTATTGCAGACCTCCGTAAAGAAGTCCTTCGCCTCACTGCAGAGCTGCAGGACAAACAGTCACTCGTGTCCAAACTTTTTGATGTCGCTGGCGGGGCAGCACTCACGGCTTATGTCACTGAGCGCTGCATACTGTGACACTGTCGTGTGGGAGAGATCTGTCAGCTCTGGGCCCTCTTGTTCTACACCTAAGTGCCCGGTTCGGAATAAAGAGCCTGCGGACTGCGAGGAGCCATCCAGCGCCGTGGCCCATGTCCTGAGCCTGTCAAACCGCTATGCAGCCCTCTCCGCTGACATTCCAGCCCCCTCAGCAGAACCCCTGGACTCTGCAGCAAACTCTACTGCTGTCCGTGGATCCAGGTCCACTGCGAGAAAGACACTCTTAAAGGAAGCTGTCCTCAGACGAAAGAGTGGTCATTCCCCTTCTCTGACCCCAGTGCATCACCACCACTTACCTTCACCGGGTCAGCAGCAGCGACCCGAGCCTGCTCCTCTCGCCGCTCCAGCGTCTCCGTGCACACAGCGTGGGTTGCCCGGAGCTGGGAATCAACACCCCCACTCTTCTCCATGTGTTCAGCAGCGCCCTGGTTCGGACCCATCCCTGGATGAGCCCGCTGGTTCTGGCCATGGACACCGAGCGCTCTCTCCGCGGCCGCGTCCACTCTTCGCCCCGACTACTTTGATTGTTGGAGATTCCATCGTGAGGCACGTCCGCTTTTTTAACGCGGTCACTCACTGCATTACTGGAGCTACTGTTCCAGATCTGCTCATCCGTCTCCCTCCTCTGCTTCAGTCCCTGCCTGATACCATTTCAAAGGTAATCGTGCATGTGGGGATCAACGACATGAAGCTGCAGCAGTCCGAGGTCACAAAGAAGCACTTTATGGATCTATTCCGCCTTCTCCAGTCCTCTGGGTTGTGTGTTTTTATCTCTGGTCCAGTCCCGACTGTAAACCGGGGTGACTGCCTCTACAGTCGCGTTGTGGCGCTGAATATGTGGCTCCAGTCTGCATGCAGCACTTTTAACTTTATTTTTGTAAACAACTTTGGCCTGTTCTGGAAGCGTCACGTGGCCTATCGTCCAGATGGTCTGCACCCGAACAGATACGGCACCAGTTTATTGATGGAGTTTTTACGCCATGTTGTTCAGTGCTCCCCGAGGGGGGCGTGACTGTTTACATCTGAGGCTTCTCGGCCCCCACCACCCCCCTCCTCCTCCTTACCAGCACCGGGTGAGTACTGTGGTGCAAACACTGACCCCTGTCCGTCTGGCAGTGTAACGACAGTCCTGCCACTGAACTGTGCTGACTCAGTTATGCATCTGGAACTTAACAAAGTACAACAGAGTTCACTTTTTAAACCAATAGAGACTGTGTGTGTTCCTCGCACCAGCTCAGAAATGTGTTTTAACTTGAATAAACACAAATTTAAAAGAAGGACAGCAGTTAGACGGTCCAACTCTGGAAATCTAATTCCAGTTCTTTGTAATCAATCAACTAAACCCACTGACACTGATATTAATTTTAACCTTGCTCTACTTAATGTCAGATCACTATGCAACAAATCATTTTTAATAGCGTGCCGCACGAGTGCTATTTTTAGACTGCAAGGCCGCGTGACGTCAGCAACGTAAACCGGAAGAGGGTCAACATAGAAGCGCGCTCGCTTACGATTCATGCTATTACTGCTTGTTTTCTGCCGGTTATCCCTCAAATAAGAACATGCCGAGTAAACACTGCTGCTATGGAACTTGCAGAAACGACTCCAGACACTATGACCGTCCACATATGAAGGATGTATTCTTTATTCGTTTCCCGAAGCCAAAAACCCAGAGGGATAAATGTGAACGATGGGTCAACTTGTGCGGACGTCCAAAAGACCAGTTCAATGCCAGCAACGTGAAACCATTCACCTTCATATGTAGTAAACATTTTGTTGGGGGCCATGGTCCTACAGATGACAATCCTGATCCATTGCCGGCCACAGCCTGCCCCGAAGAGGTAAGCCATTTATATAATTTCCTTTCTTTTTTGCTTTTGCGTTTGGCCGTACTGCTGCTACTGTCTGACAAAAATGAATCACGTGAATTTTTTAAAAAAAATGGTCTCTCTGCCACTGTTGTTCTAACCTGTGTTGTCAACCGCCTGTTTTTGTTGCTTCACACATCAATCGTGATATTGATGAACAACCTTATATTTTCTGTCTGTATGCTTCTGTCAGTCTACCTCAGGGCAGCTGTGGCTACAGTAGTAGCTTACCACCACCCAGTGTGGAATGAATGAATAGTGCAATGTAAAGCGTCTTTGAGTGTCCAGAAAAGTGTTATATAAAACAGATGCTTTATTTATTCTATCTTGTTAAGAGTTGAGATGGGCCTGAACTAAGGCCTCACCTGTGAGATGTATGAGAAGTTATTATTAGAAAGGATAAGCAGAGTTTTTGAGGATATTTGTAAAGAATTTTGGTTTATTGTTGCAGATTGAACGTATTATCAGGCGGAGGAGAAAAGCACCAACACCTAGGCCATTCGCAAGCACTCCAGCGACAAAAAGAAGAAAAGTGGTGGACTCCGCAAATACTGATCTCGACGCAGCAAACATCTTGTTGGATCTCAGTATGATCTCACCTCTAGATGTTACTGACACAGAAGAAAATAAAGTAAGTGTACAAAGATATGTTTTGATGTAGTGTAAATCTGATTGTCATATACTTCAATAAGTGATATTAAACTATTTAGATCTTTGAGTATGTGCTCTATCAAACAACACATTGTGGGTATTAAGAAAGTGGCCTCTTGAAACAGCTTCATTTTTAATAACATCAGAAAAAGGTGGAGCCAAACCATCTTTGAAAATTTCAATTATCACAAATTTGAGGGCCATCCAGAAAACAAAAAATGATTTTTATACACAAAACATTTTAAGCTAATTCCTGATCTAGTCCACTTAAATTCTAATTTATCAGGTATATTTGTAGCCCTATAAATCTGTACCAGTATTAATGTACATGTATCTTTTGTTTTTTCGGTCAGGCTAACTCTGTAGGGATTCAAACAGAAGCTCTGGAACCCTGCTCCAAATGTTCAAAGTTGATGGTGGATGTTGGCTGTCAGACTGTATATGACCGATACATGTTGCAGTCCAAGATTGAAAACATCATACTGAAGAATGAAGCAACTGTATCGAAATCCAGGCCTTCTTCTCTTGATGTGCCTCCGAGTGATCAGAAACCTGAATATGAGGCCCTCCTGACTTTAGATGATGTTAAAGATGATGCCAGAAAAATGAAGTTCTTTACTGGACTTTCGTTTTTACACTTCATGGCCTTATTCAACTTCCTCGGCCCCGCGGTAAATAACCTTACTTACTGGAACAGTACTGGGAAAAGTGAGCAGAGTTCAACTAAGAAGAGGAGAAAGACAAAACCAATCGAGGAACTATTTATGACTGTTGTTAGACTACGTCGTGGCTATTGCTTTTATACAATGTCATTCTTATTCAAATTATCGGAGTCCTCACTAAGGTCAATATTTACTACATGGCTCCAATTATTGTACTGCCACTTTAAAGAGGTAAAACTGTTCCCAGATAGATCTGTCCTCAAGAAATTTATGCCTAAATCATTCAAAGGGTTCAAAAATATTCGGTGCTCTGTGGACTGTACAGAATTCTTCGTACAAATGCCTCGTAACTTTTCTCAGCAAGGAAACTTATTCTCGAATTATAAGCACCATCACACATTTAAGTGTTTGATAGCTGTTGCGCCTAATGGCACTGGTGTGTTCGTCTCAGATCTTTACGAGGGTGCTATAAGTGACAGAGACATATTTGAACAAAGTGGCATATTGGAGCATTTACATCCCGGTGATCTTTTATTAGTTGACAGAGGCTTTACTGTGAAAGACTTACTCATGTCAAGACGGGTCAAGATGAACATTCCTCCATTTTTGAAAGGTCGGGATAAGCTCACACCCCAAGAAGAGCTTCTGACAAGAAAAATAGCAAAGGCACGTATCCATGTAGAGCGATATAACGAACGTATTAAGAAATTTAAACTGATCTCTGGCACGATTCCCTTGTCTCTAACTCCACTAGCAAGTCAGGCTGTCTTTGTTGCTTGTTGTCTTGTTAACTTTCAAGATCAGTTGGCAAAGTAAATAAAAGAAGACATGTTAAAGCTTTATTGAAGTTGTAAAATGTTCTACTAATTCTGCACATTTAATCCAAAATCTATCAATATTTAGAGGGGTCATCTCAATATTACTTTGATGCTTAAAGGCAATCATATTTCCAACAAGTGACCCCATTCAATTTCATTCTGAAATGTACACTTGAACTTTGAAAATGTAAAAAGTTATTTTCTATAAACATTTACTTGGATTTATTATTTCATTTTTGTTTACATATAGGGGTAATTTATAACCTATATCCACAGAGAGAATGAAGGTTCATTGCAAAGAGAACAGTTGTGCACTATTGCCTTCATTGTATGTACAGTGAAAGCAATAAAGAAAGATAATAGAAAATATTCTAAGTTTTGAGGTTATGAGTAGATTAACATAGAATTGATATCTTGGGAATTTTTGATCAAAATGTATTTTACATAAAACTAATGAAATGCATACACATGAAATGATCTTTTAAACATTTTAATTCAAAAGTTAATAGTTTAAAATCATCATGAATAACAATGAAATACTGTACCCATAAATAACTGATAATTTCTGAAGCAAACATTTGTATAGCATCAAAATGTCGCCATTGTCTTAAGTAAATATAATCAAAGTTAAAGTTTTAACAATAAGAGGTAAATGCTGAGCAGGCACTTCTGCTGTAAAAAATGTTTGGTGAAAGGTCTATTACAGTAAACTTGTCAAAAGAAAACTACATTCAATGTCAATACTGTGTTGATATTTTATTTGGGAAGAATGAATGGTATTAGATTACGAGGGGCCCTCATTTCAACCAACTCTGGCATGACAACACAGCTCCACAACTTATAGTTTGAGTTAATAATGTCAGCAATGAAATTTGAATCGGAGTAGATTCTCTCAATGGAAGGATCTCCTTTCACTGACCACAGGACAAAGTCACACCACTCAAGGCCTGTGACACCAAGCTGATACTGAACTTGGTAATAATAGGGATGAGAACGACGCAAAACAAGTTTATTGTCACTAATCGTGAAACAGGTGGCTTGGATGTCCTTGCTGGTCATTTCTCCAGAGTTGTACTGATCAACACATTCCTGAGGAGATTTCTTCTGAAGAAGCCCTAAAATTTTGATTTCAGAAAGACCAAAACTATTTGTGGAGGGATCATATGATAAGCCATCAGGGCTACAAGCCAGTTGTGGAAGCCTGTGAGAAACAAACAGTCCGGTCTTCTCACAAGAGAAGTCAGGAACAGTCTTTTTTTTAAACAGCACATAACTGTCCCTTGCTCTGTCCTCGTTTTTGATTCCTTCATTCATATGTTTTGTGGTGATTCTGTCGAGGCCCCACACATTTTTCCGGATGTAGTGTAGCAGTCTCAACTTCACCGCAGCACTCATTTTTTGTTCACAGTTTGCTATGACCTCCCAAATCTTGTGAGCCTCTTTACACGTGGAAGCTGTCATTCTGAGGTATCTTTCTGAATACCAAACATCTGAGGATGACTGCTCAACTGTCCCTGGAATCATCGAACTGATGCATTGCACACTGCACTTAGGTAGTAAGTTGGCTTCATACACACTACGTAAGCTGGTGATGACATCCCTGTGGCTCTCTGGCAAATCATAGTCCTCATAATGGTATACAAGGACTGTTTCCCACATACTAATAACACCACTTCCACTGTTTGCTCCCTGTAACTCCGTCAAGAAGGCATTGACATCCTCATTTTTGACATGACTGCCATCTGGACGCGGATCGAAAGATTTTACTTTAGTTGGAGGGAGTTTACCATACGATTTTGCATTGATGCTACCAGGATTTTTTCGTTTCCGACCCCGTTTCCACTCACATGGTAGGTCTGTACAAGCCGGTGTTCTCCCAACATCAGTGTCAACAACTTTTGTCAGGAAAAGCAGAAGGGCAGCCACGTGACTACACCGCCCTAGGGCTGATGCTTTACATTTACACGTTGCACTTAAAACTGCACCACTCACTGACGACATCTCAACTGATACATCATGGTGTTCATTTTTCATAGATGCATCAACTTTTGCTTTGTATACTATAGAATTATGAGTCTGCCTTACTTTGATATCCTGAACAAAGTTTGAGTCAACATACTGCCAGCCACGGCGCAGAGATTTTTCAGTGACAACTGAAGTTATGTCATCCTCCTCATCACTGTCTTCTGTCTTGAGAAGGCCTTGTGGGAAGAGTGGGCAGAGATTCCACCAGCCAGTGATACACGTAGCCATAGTTGTACAGTGGTGGGATGTTTGATGGTAGGAACTCCTTCCAATCATTAGATTCGAGAGCAGTTTGTGGACTCTCAGTATGGGTATCTGCTAATTTCTGGTACCATTTCCCTTTGTCAACTGATACGTCAATGTCTCCTGCTTTCCCTGATGCAATGCAATCTTTACATCTGAAAAATACATAAAATGACACAAGTTCAATTAAGAGACTTATGTAGGCCTACAGACACTAGTCCTGTACTACGCCCTAGACATTATTTTGAATGAATCTCTCTCTCTCTCTATCTCATATATATATATATATATATATATATATATAAATATTTTACTTGTAGGTGCTACTACTGCCTTGAATGACATGTATTTATCATAAAAGTCATATGAGGCCTACTTTCTTAAAATACTCTTATTTAAATATGTAAGACATGTTCTGCCTTTTTCTAGCAAGCCTGTTCATGCTACAGGTAGGCCCTAGATCTGACAGATTTACTTTTTCTGTAGTAAGGAAACAGCCTTGGGGGGAGGGTAAAATTGAGAGAATTTAGATTTGATATTAATTAAAAATTAAGTGTTGTTGGTTGTGACCAAGTAGCATTAGCGATCGCTAAACAAAAAATAAATACATGAATAATAATAATATAAATTACCCACAACAACTGTCAGACGTAAGACAACCAGAGGACATAGTATATATGACAGACAGGACATAGGGTGGTAAAAGATAGCTTGTTGAAACTGCAAAAAGTCACTGTCAGTGGCGTAAGGCGATGTTTTTTGGGGGAGAAATTATGTCGATAACAATCTACCTCTGGATCAGGTCGGCTCTTTTTCCCGTCTTTTTCAGCCCTCTACACTCAAGCCATCTCTTCAATTGAATATTTGTATGTTCTTCTACTTCTATACCAGTGAATTTGGCACCGGGGACATCATTCTCGGACAGAGTTAGCAGGTTTAGCTCAGTAGACATCTCGTCCGTAAACTGTTTACATGCGTCTAGCATGAGTGACACGCGCGAGTTTGACCCCCCTAGCAACCGTCGCTAGCTTAATGAATATTAATGAGAAGAGGTGACGTATATCGTGCGGTACGCTATTAATAATTTTATCTGTTCGTATGATCTTGATTTTATGTTTATGACTGAAACATGGCTTGACCATAATACAGGAGATGCAGTTTTAATAGAAGCCTCACCACCAAATTTCAAATTTGAACATGAAACACGAGAAAATAAAAGGGGGGGGGGCATAGCAGCAGTTTTTAAAGATCGTATTGTCTCCCATAGGGTGTCTCTTGGGAAATTTTCATCATTTGAGTATGTTTCTTTTAAAATAGAACAAAAGAAATCTTTTTCCATTCTTATTATTGTTGTGTACAAGCCGCCACAGTCATGCCATAGTTTCACTGATCATTTCACTGAGTTGCTTTCAGTTGTGTGCACAGATTTTGATGGTTTAGTCATTATAGGCGATTTTAATATTCATGTGGATAATGTTAATGACAGATACGCAAAAGAGCTGAGTTCCATACTTGAATCCTTTGGCCTCACTCAGCATGTGAGTGGCCCCACCCATAGCAGAGGACACACCTTGGACCTGCTTATCACGAAAGGGGTGAATATTTCAAAAGTTAATGTAGTTGATGTTGCTCTGTCGGATCATTTCTGTGTATTTTTTAACATGTGTTTTGCTACCAGACCACCCGCTAAATATGAAATTGTTAGAAGTAGACACTTAAATGAAAACACGGGTGAACTATTTATGGGAATGATCCATTTTGAGAACGCATCATGTTCTACTGTAGATGAACTGCTTAACTCTGTCACCTCTAGTGTGTTGAATGTTCTGGACGCCATTGCCCCTGTGAAGGTAAAAATGGTCACAAATAAGCAAAAAGCCCCATGGATAAAAGCAGGCCCGGTCAGGGCACAGAAGCAAGAGTGCCGGAGAGCAGAGAGAAAGTGGAGAAAGTCCAACCTCCAGGGTGATTATAGACTCTTAAAAGAGAAGTTGTGTGAGTTTAACAGAGTACTACGTAGAACAAGAGAATTATACTTTTCTGAAACTATTGAAGGCTGCAGCAACAATCTGCGTGTTCTATTTTCAACAATCAATAGATTAACGAATCCCCCTGTTGAGTTGCCATTAGAACACTACTCCAAATCCAGGTGTAATGAGTTTGCACAGTTCTTCAGAGACAAGGTTCAGGGTATCAGAAATGCCATCACCTCTACAACACAAGTAACAATGCAACATCCAGTGAGGCTTTGTGAGCTAGCTCAATTTGCACCTGTCAATGATGAAACTGTTAAAAAGATAATCACAGGTCTTAGTTCCTCTACCTGCAGTCTGGATGTACTACCTCCTAGATTTCTGAAGTCTGTTATGTGTAGTCTATTACCCTCATTGACACAAATAGTAAACATGTCTTTTTTATCTGGAACATTTCCAATGGCCCTGAAAAAGGCAGTCATTAGGCCCCTCCTAAAAAAGAGCAGTTTGGATGCTGCGGTACTTGAAAATTACCGTCCCATCTCAAATCTGCCTTTCATGGGAAAAATTCTTGAAAAAGTTGCCTACCAACAACTTACTGAATTTTTAATATCTAATGACTCATTTGACATGTTTCAGTCTGGCTTTAGACCACACCACAGTACTGAGACCGCTCTAGTCAAGGTAACAAATGATATTCGGCTTAACACTGATGCAGGAAAAGTCTCTGTTTTAGTCATGTTAGATCTGAGTGCCGCTTTCGACACCGTTGACCATGAGATTCTCATGCAGAGACTGGAGGACTGGGTTGGTGTTGCTGGTACCGCCCTAAGCTGGTTTAGGTCCTATCTAGAAGAAAGGAAGTATTGTGTGGAGATTGGAAACTATGTCTCAGATAATATGGCCCTGACCTGCGGAGTGCCACAGGGGTCGATTCTGGGACCTCTCCTGTTCAATATTTACATGCTGCCATTAGGTCAGTTAATTCAAAGTATGAAAGTGTCCTACCACAATTACGCTGATGACACTCAGATCTATGTCTCACTGACTGCAGGAGAGCATGGGCCGGTGGACTCACTCCTTCGCTGTATCCAGCGGATCAGTGAGTGGATGCAATGCAATTTTCTCCAGCTAAATGCGGACAAAACCGAAATGATTGTCTTTGGTCCCGAGAAACAAAGAGAGACCGTCATTTGTCACCTTCAGTCTCTCTCCCTAAGGCCCTTAAATAAGGTCAGAAATCTGGGAGTAATAATGGACTCTGACTTAAACTTCAATAGCCACATTGGATCGCTAACATCAGCAGCTTTTTATCATCTGAAAAATATTGCCAAAATTAAAAATATTGTGTCCAGGGCAGACTTGGAGATTCTTATCCATTCTTTTGTTTCCAGTAGGCTGGATTACTGCAATGGCCTGCTCACAGGTATCTCCAAACATGCAGTAAGACAGTTGCAGTATATTCAAAATGCTGCAGCCCGAGTCCTGACTAGAACCAGGAAGTACGACCACATTAGTCCGGTCCTCAGGTCTCTGCACTGGCTTCCCGTGGCCCAGAGAATAGACTTTAAAGCAGCTCTCCTGGTGTACAAGTCTCTCCATGGCCTTGCACCAAAGTACATCCATGATATGCTAGTCCCATATGAACCAGCCCGGACTCTGAGGAGCGCAGGGACGGGACTCCTGTTAGTGCCCAGAGTCAGGACTAGACAGGGGGAGGCTGCTTTTCAGATTTATGCAGCTGGAGTCTGGAACGGTCTTCCTGAGGATGTGAGACTGGCTGCCTCTCTGTCAATGTTCAAATCCATGTTAAAGACTTTTCTTTTTTCCCGTGCATACAACTAGAGAATTTTATCTTTTTAACACACCTTGTTATTTATTGTTGTAACTTTTTGTGTTTTTAACTATTTTATTGTTTTTAATTACTTGTGTGATTTTTATGTTTTTAAATTACTTATGTGATTTTAATGCTTTTTAATTACATATGTGTTTTTAATTGTATTTTAATGGTGATGATTTGTGCATTGTGTGGTGTGGACTGTGAGGCGCTTTGTGTTGCCCTGTGCAGGAAAAGCGCCCTATAAATAAAGATTGATTGATTGATTGATTGATGTGTTGTTTTGTGTTTTACAATTGTTAGTTATCTTGCTTTTTTCTGCCTGAGATGTTGCTGCAGTACAGTGTTCATGGTTTTACACTGGTCCAGACCAGAGCAGAGAGGATTCATGGTCCGAACCAAGTGGATCAGGTGAAAATCCACTGGAGGAATGCCAACTTATTGAAAAGATGTTACTGAAGTATTTTGCATTATACTTTGGACCAGTGCAGATAAAATGGTCCGAACCAACCAGCTCCACCTCTGCTGCTGTGACCTGAAGGACTGTTGTATTTTATTATTACTATTGTTAGATACTTAATACTTAATTTGTATATTTGCTGCTACTGGACACCTGATTTTCTCCTACAGGGATCAATAAAGTATCTATCTCTCTATCTCTATATATGGCTGGAGTGTAGAAGAGATATTTGATCCGAATGTCAGAGCAAGTGTTGGACGATCCGATTTACCATTTAGTCCAAATTAGTCACGAAATGTGTTAAGCTTGCATGAACAAACTGGATACCTCCGACCTTCTCCCGCCTCTCAGCTGAAACTTGAGTGCAGGTCACCCCTTGACATTTTCTAAATCTGTATTTTGCCGA